CTCTGGAGGGCCCTGGGCTCTGGCAGATGGCCCTGGTGCCCCAGCCGGGGGCCGAGGGCCTGAGCCCCCCATCCCTCCTCTGCCAGGGTCTCTTAGTGATTTCTTTGTGGGTGTTTTGGCATCTTTACACCTGGAAAGTCTCTTATGTTTGCCGTTTATTCCCTTCACAGAAGGCTTGGAATGTATTTATTTATATTTATTTTTTCAAAATCTGAAATCATTTGCGAGCCGCAATCGTCGTCTGCCTGTGTATGGGGGCCCAGGGCCTGCCTTGCACATTGCGGCCTCTCTGGCCATTGCAGAGCTGCTGGCCTCCTGCCCAGGTGGAGGGTCCTGGGGGCAGCAGAGGATAAAGCCCCCCCTCCTCACATCACTCTATTACGGATCCACAGTGGCCTTACTCTTAACTTGGATGAAAGCAAAAACCTGGGAGAATGATGTGCTTCTGTAGTTGGTGACAAAGGAAGAGGCATTGCTACTTTATTTGGTGCACTTTTGGTTTCTAGGAAGGTCTTTGGATCATTTTAACTTCTTGGCAACTCCCAGACCCTGAGAGTGTAGGGCTGGGACCTGGCAGCTGGGTGGGTACAGGGAGTGTTCCTGGTTTGTCTCCGGACCCTGGCAGCAGCCACGCCCCCAGGCCCACTGTGCATGGTGCGGGCGACACAGCCGGAAGCTTCCAGGGTGGCCTCCACCTCCTTGCTGGGGCACTTCTGCTCCTGGAGCCTTTGGTGGCAGGTTTGTGGGGTGGGGGTTAGTGTCTGTGTGTGGAAGGCCACCAATCTAGGGACAGGAGCCCTGGGTCAGGATTCATACAGCCACTCTTGGAGCTGGTTTCTAGTTCTCATGTTTAGAGAACACCTAGAAAGCGCCGTGGAAGACTCGTTCTCCAGGGTCTTGAAGCCTCCAACGGAGTGGCCTCCATGGTGGGCCTGTCCCAGCCCTGGCTGCGAGGACAGCTTGTCTTTTTCTCCCCAGTTGCTGTGAGGGACACGAAGGCCGAGGCCAGGCTGGCAGAGGGCCTGGCCCCTGCGGGGAGGCACTCCCTGCAGGGCTCTCCCTGTTCTTAGCCAGAGTTTCGAGGGAACCCTGTGGCACCTGTCCCTGGATGAAGAGCTGTCACCTCTGCCTTGCCCTTTAACTCAACCCGCTTCCCAGCACAGCAGCTTTCTTTTTAAAACCCGTTTCACTGAGAAGTTTGTTTCTGGGTCTGCTGGTGTCACTGTGGCCTGGGTGAGAGGCCGGCACTGCTGTTGCCCTGAGGGGGAGCCCCTGGGCCGTGTAGCGGGGACGCTCTGGGAATGGCGGTTGGGCACTGTGGGTGGGACCTGGAACTTCGTGGTGGCTGAGCCATCCACCCAGCAGTGGCCTCCTGTGGCACTGTCTCGGGAAAGTCCTGGGGGACGTGTGTGCCGTGCTTTTTACCATCGGTTTGACTCACAGTGGAGTAGAACGAGCCAGAGTTCGTGATTGGAGCAGGTGGACTTGGGCCCAGGCCCTGTTCACTCTTGCTTCTCGGTGCAGACTAATGTCAGCTTGTGGCTGGGAAAGAGGGACGTGCATCGCCGTGGTCGCTAAGGCATTGAGCCCCGCTGACCCGGGCCAGCGATGGCAGGAGGTGCGGTCTCCAGAGTGGCGGGCCAGGACGGGCTGGCCTCCGTCTTCTAGTCTGCTCTTCTTGCCTCCCTGACCACCAGACTCTCCTCCCGAGAATGCCTGCCTGCCCACCTGCCTTAGGACTCCTGAAGCGCTCCTGGAAGGCCCCAGGAGTGGCACCTTAGTGCGGGTCGGCCCGCAGATGGCACCCAAGGTCGGGAAGGGCAGTAACCGCACACACGGTGCTGTCAAGAGATGGGGGTGGGAGATGCTTCTGGGGGCTCTGCCTCCCCACTGCGTGCCTAGAACGTCCCTGGCCCTGCCCCGCCACTTCCCTTGGGCCCTTGTGAAGGACGGAGGCTCCAGGGTGAGAAGGCTCACTTCTGCCCGGGGCACTGCGTCCGGCAGCAGAGGGGACGGGGGCAGGCGTGTGACTGGAGTCCTGGGTGCTCAGGCCTGACCAGAGGGAGTGGGAGGGCGAAGCTGAGGAGGGGAAGGTGTTTCTGGTCCCACCAAGGTGGGCCTTGTGTGTTCAATAAGAGAACGGAGCTGGGACGGTGACCGGTGGAGGTGTTCAGATCCCCCCGTTACTTCCTAGCATTTTCTCCTCTTGCCTTAAGAGTTCTCTGTATGTGAAACAGGAAGTCCTGAGTGTGTGTGTGGCTGTGTGCACGCACACAAGACGGGAGTGACCCTGTGCTTCCTGCCCAAGATACTGACCCATTGAACCCCAAAGCATCTTTCTCCGCAGGGTCCGCGGTGCCTTCCTGGTGGGCTGCTGACACTAATGGTGTTGGGGGGTCTTGGAACAGCTTCTCTATGTGTGGATTCGTGTAAATGCGAGGAGTTCACATATAAAGAAGTGACTTTGATTCTGGGATTATATTGATTTGGTACACAGTAAATGGGAGTTTAAAAAATCCAAAGACTGTAATGACTTGTAAAGACTCTAATGATTTGTATCATGTAATGAACTAAACCACCTGTAATTTTGTACCATATATGTCTTTCCATCAAATGACCAACAGCTTCTCAATAAAACCAGATTATTTCTCACCTGCATCATGTCTGAGGTCACTCTTGTTGCTTCTCCTTCCCCTGACCCCGACATAGGGTTTTGGGGCTCCTGGCAGGCCATCCTGTCATGGCGTAGCCTTGTTCTCAGCAAAGGTGGTAGTGGGGCTTTTCCAGACTGAGACTGGGAGGAGGAGGATCAGGGAACAGCAGCAGGCCATGCTCGCCTCTCCAGCCCATGGACTCCAGAGGCTGAACTCTTCATGATTTGGACCAAAGAGCCCAGGGAGGCCTCCTGGTTCCGAGTCATCTTTCCTTGTTTGGACTTCAGCCCCTTACAGAAGCCAGGAACTATGGAAACTTTCTGGGGCCCTTTGACCCCAGGTAAGTGGTGCTACTGGGAGACAGGTGACCTGGTAAGGACTGTCCTTGGCTCTCAGGCATGACTCCACTGTCTGCCGTGACCTTCGTGTTAGTCCCCACGCCGGACCTCCCCTTTCCCTCCAACTGGGGTGAGGACTTCTTTCCCCGCTGCAGAGGTGGCCAGCCTCTGGCAGGGCTTCTGTAACAAGGGGTTTTGGGAAGTGGGGGATCATGGTTGCGGGGCTGACATTGGTGTTGCCGGGCCCTGCTCGCCAGTGAGGCCTGCATTCTGCAACCACCCTGCCCAGCTGTGCCGTGTGGGCCTAGAACGGTACTGAGGATGCTGGGTCCAGCCTTTGAGTTGGGGAAGGTGACCTCGCTCCCTTCCGTTCGCCAGTGGATTCCCACTCAGCCACAGGGCCCCAGCCCAGTACCAGTGAGGGATGCCCGCAGCCAGTACACATTCCCACGAGGACACAGCGGCACTTGTGGCCCTGTATAAAGTTTTTCTTGCTGTGCCAGCGAATCAGTTGGCCCTTGGATATGAAATACACTTGCAACTGGAGGGCTCAGCCACTCCGAGGGCCGACCAGAGCTGTCCATCAGCCAGCACAGCCAGGCAGGGCTGGGTTACATTCCTCAGTGTAGAAGAATGCTTGGAGACAAGCGCTGCTGAATAATGACAGAAATTTGGCAGCAGGAGATGCCCTGCTCTGAATGAGGCAGGAATCTGAACGTAAAATTGATACAGCGCCTAGAGTGGATCTTACTTTTCAAGCTGCTACTCTCTTGCAACTCAATGAGATGTCTTTTGTTTGCCTAAGGCTGTGTGTTTTTTTTCAGAGTTGCCCAGACCCTGAAATGGGCTCTAATGGATGTCACGCCCAGTTCATTCCTTCCACTCACTGTTAGTCGCTTAACTAACATTCACATACTTACCCTGTGCCTGTCCTCAAGGAGAGGACAGAAGCAAGCTTTCCCGATGGGTGCCATGGTAGGTCAGCCCTGGTGCACCCAGGAGGGCCTGGGGGGTTGAGGGAGCTGGCCCTAGAGTGCTCTGAGGACACAGGGCAGTCGGGAGATGTCTGGGCTCTGTGGTGCGCATGGGGAAGGGTTGGGTGGGCTGTGGGAAGGAAGGTTCACCAGCGCTTCTGCTTAAGCAGAAATAGCAATCCCGGGCCAAGAAAGGGGAACGTGGGTGGGGATGTCGTCAGAGCTGGCCCCCGTCCTCACCCCCCAACCCTGAACCCCTCCCTGCCTCTACTTGGCAACTTCAACAGGGTTTGGGGCAGCTGAAAATTTGGCATCATCTTTTCTCATGATGCTTGTGAAGAAGAAAAGACACACCCTTTGTGTCTTAGGTTTCCTCTGAGAAGGGAGAGGGAAGCCAGGGCACCTTGTCCTTGAGTCCTGCTTAAGAATTTGATGCCAACCAATGGAAGCCTTTAGAGAAAACCAATAATGAAGGCTTGGCTTTATTTACTGTGTTTTTTATTTACTGCTGAAGGTGCAGCCCCGAGAGAGACAGCTCTTTTAAGAAAATGAGGCTCAGGGCGTGGCCTGGAATGGAAGAGAAAAGCTGCATGGACTTCAGCCGCTTGGCGTAAGTCAGAGGCTGCACTCCTAGTTCGGGGAGAGCTGCTAGGATCTTGACGGTTTTAGGGGCGGCCAGATCTTCGTGTGATCGTGTAGCTTGAAGATGGTGGGGTAAAGGCAGGCCGGGTGGGCATGTGCCATACTGAGGGTGCAGTCAGGGGACTCCCAGAAGGCACAGCCTCTCCTGGTGTCATCCAGACACGTGCCAAACGCAGGCTGGAGGATCAGGGAGTGGGATGTGCAGAGGGATTTTCCTGGCTCGGTGTTGCCCTCTTACCCAGGTGGTGTGCAGCAGTCTGCGTGAGACTTTCCCAGTCATTTTAAATGCACAAAGGGACCAATGTTCAAAATGGAACACTTCCATCTCTTTGTTTGGGTCGGTCACTTCCCAAATAATCACTTTGATCCAAAGAAATCCCAGCCAGTCTGTATTCAGTTATACATTTTATTCTCTAATAGGTACAATACTAAAATAAACACAAATTAAAAAAAAGTTTTATTAAAACAAAACTGTACAAAAAAGCAGTATACTACATTTTAATTACAGAACAGTCTACTGTCCAAAAGGCACTAATCCAGAATAGGAGATACAATGATACAGGACTCATTTGAACTATTTTATTCAATACAATAGAGCGCTTGTTTCTTTGACCATTTACATCTAGAAACAAGGGCTTTTTGCTACAGCCATTACACATTGTTATAGATATGAGTCCTACGGGTGAAGGTGCAGTATCGCTCTCCCTAGAGGAGGTTCCCATTAGAGGGAACACCGTGGAGCTCAGAGGCGGATGGCAGCAGTGGGTGGGGCCTGGGACCTGCCACATGGTTGGCCCGTCAGCCCCTGGGCACCCGGAGCTTGTCTTTCAGCCTGGCCTCTGGTGGTTGGTTTCTGGCCATTACTGGCAGCCACTTTCACCCCCTCTTGTGTTTTAGCACCGGCAAAGTGGGTTCTGAGAAGCTCCAGGTAACTGGGGCTGGAGGTGTGGGGGATGAAGCGTCAGCAGCGGGGAGGCATTGTGGTAACCTGAAGAAAGGCAGCAACTACTCAGAAGAGGGAGACGAAGCCCAGGGACAGCCGATGAGCCGGGCTACAGCCAGGCAGAGCCACCTGCTGCTTTCTGGGCAAACTTCTGGCCCCAAAATATGAGGGGCTGTTCCAAAGTTCAGAGACATCCTGTGTCCTTTCCTGGTGGACCCAGAAAAGTGACATCAGATCATCTTTTGTCTTGGAAGTTGATTTTTACGAGTGGGATTTTGCTTCCGAGAGGGAAGTCAAAATACAGTGACCAGCCTGAAGTGGGGGAGCCCTTTCCCTCCCTCAGTCCCACCTCAGGACCACGAGTGGCTCCAGGTCCCAGGTCCCAGCACACCGTGTAGGAGAGCTGAACTCTGTTGGCTTACCTGTCTGTGTTTGGTGGCCAAGACAACTCTAAGCCCCATGTTTATTCTTTAATGGCCTCTGGACCTCAGGAAGAGAGATACTGCAGCTTTCCAAACAGTGTCATACACATATAAGACAAAGACAGGCATCTGATGTTAACAAAAATAAGTAACAAAGAAATAGGATTAAACCAAATCTCTTCTCACAGCATCCTATACTACATCCTCCTTCTGCTTAGCAGAAAATTGTACGTACACAAAAATACAAATACACAATTTTGTAGAACAGTCTGATTTTAATATATTTATATATATTTATATTTATACGAGTGGCAGGTTAGTTCATTATATAGAGCTTTTTGCACTTTTGGCTCATACGCAACAAGGCTTATAAATTCAGCTTCAGCTTTCATTCAGGTTTTATAGCTTTTGAACAATTGTTTTCACATTTAAAGCAGCATCCAATTTGCACTAGGAGTTTGTGGTGATGATAGGAAAGACAGGGTCAGGAGGTTATCGAAGGGCAGGGCGGGGAGATACATTCCAGTGTGTGTGGTGATGGACGGAGGATGCCGTGGGACAGAGCTTACCATGATGACCCCTTGAGGTAGACTGAACACCTTACAGCAGACTCAGACACAGGTGTGACTCACCCTCAGGGACACATGGTGTACAAGATGGACAGGGACTAGAGGAGACGCCAAGGGGAAACACGAAGACTAAGACACACAGCAGCCGAGGCAGGGAGGAGCGCGCTGCCCCCACGCCCATGTGGCAGGGATCCCGCATGGCCCATCTTAGAAACTCAACTTATTTGGTGGATGCGAAACACTTCAGGCAATCCCAAGGCATCTACTCCGGGGTATCCGACGAGATTACAGCCGTTAAGCTTGCTTTCCATTTCATAACTTGCTGTGCAGCTAGTTACCACCCCCATGCTGAAGAGTAAAGCAAAGGTGCCGCGGTTCGGCAGTGGAATCCACCCCCAGCACTCTGCTCGCGCTGGAGCTTTCAAGTCCGGTTACGTGAGAACAGACTAGGACTCTCTTGCTGCCTCTAATTGCATTTCACTGTCGCCCTCCCCAGTGCTCTGCACTCTCACTTACATTCATCTCTCCCTAGACAATTACAACTAGGGTAATCAACAAGCACTTGGTAGAACCTGCAAAAATAGCATCTGGAGAACTGAGGAATGACGCACTGCCAAGGGCCTGGTTTGGTTTACATGCTACAGAAAAGCCTCATTCTCATGATCACCACAGCACTGTTCCCCCATTCGATCACCTTTGTCAGCCTGCCTTCCCTTCTCTATCAGGTCATAATTCCACTGGCAAGTTTGCCCATGTGTCAAATATGAATACCCAGTGTTTTGGGTCATTACATTGTCTGAACAAAAATGCTGGATTATTAATGAAAATAAAGTGCCTGGGTATGGATTGTTCCATTTTGCAAAACCTTTTAATGCACCAACAAATCATCTGAGCGCTGCTTAGTGATGTGATTTGAACAGAGTGCAGTCACAAAATAATCTGTCGTACACCCATCACAGAATAAAGGCCCCATATTTAGATCAGACTTAAATTATTTTTAAAAAAAGAAACAAATACTCTCACACTCATTTCCAAAGACACACTTTGGATCTGAATGCCCGACTGCTGGCTTTCCCAAGCCCTCGTGAGCAGACACCCCGATCCGTCTAGTCTAGGAAGAGAGGGCTCGCAAAGGCAGCTGGGGTTCCAGTGGCTCATGCTGGCAGCTGAGTCAGGCTCATGAGCTAGGATGATTCGACGCTTTGCCCTCTTGGATGTGGACACATTTCCAACTCCTACCAAAGCCAGAGCTGGAATGCTGCTCTGAGGCTGTCTTGCTCTCCTGTCTTCTTAGTGGCTACTGAGATTTCCCTAAGCAGACTTAAATTCTCTATGAACCAAGACCAAAACCACATAAACAGAAACAGCCCTAAAGAAACAAACGCTGGAAAACAGTGATGAAGCCAGCCTGATGTGGCTGTGAAGCGATCTCTCCCGCTAGTTTGTCCCTGCCTTGTTCTGCCTGCAGAACGCCAGGGACACTGGAGAGGGGCAGCCGCCCTGTGCCCACCCTCAAGGGCCAGTGCAGGGTGGGGAGGGATGGGGACAGGGCACAGGCCGACTCTCTGGCAGGTTCCAGAGGTCTGTAACTTGCTTAGGCACTTAAAAAACATAAACAAAAATTTATCCTTGAAAGGTACTGCATACCCAATGTGACCATGGCCGTGGAAGGCAGGGCGAGCCCGGGCTGGGGGGAGGTCATAGAAGGCTGTGGGCTCTTCCAGGGGAGGCAATGATGACGCACTTGGCATCTCTCAGCAAGGGGAGTGTCCTGCCTTGCAGCCAGGGTGTGTCTGACGACGCCAGTGCTGTGATGGCTTAGGGGCCAGGGACTTGGCCCAGCAGAGGCCTTCCCATGACCGTGTTCTACAGCCCCCTGGAGAAGTGGCTAGAAGAGGCAGGGGTGGGGAGGCTCCCAGGGTCTATCCAGACGCCCGCCATGGGTCGGGGAGGCACAGGCTGCACACGCTTTCTAGAGTCAACATGAGGCAACTACTAGGAAAAGAGGAGGCCCTTCTGAGTGTTCCGACAAAACTGAGGAGCATTCAGGGGACGCCCTGCCCAAGCTCCCAGTGCTTTGAAAGAAAAGCTCCACTCCCCACCTCCAGAACTTTGGTTTTGGTTTCAGGGTGCCCGTTTTCAGAGATGCAGTATTAAGGGGATCACCGATTCTAACATAATGAAATGTGGTTTTCAAGGCATACAACAATGCTGCTTGAAAGCAGCCACCGCTGAACACACGTCTTCATGCAGCCCACTCTTCTAACTCTGTGCCTGCCCCCCGTGAATCTGGTTTAAGAACAAGAGTTCAATGGAACACACCAGAGTGGCTGCTGCTCACATTGGTATGACACTGATGTCATTCTGTGTCCAGCTTAATACCTCCAGCAAATGATGAGGTGGAAAAGTGACTCTCACGAGTTTATGCTGGGATCTTAGTTCCAGTAATGGAAGGAAAGGAGAGGTTTCTGTGCTTAAAGGAAGCCACAAAACATGACTGAAATTTAGACTTAGCCCGAAGTGACAGGAAGTTGAAAAAGTCCTAAAGGGAAGAAGGAATAAACCTTGAAACACAAATTCTGTGACTTGTCACTGCCACAGACACTGGTTTGTGAGAGCCATGAGTTCCTTCCTAGGGAGGAATCAAACTACTCCCATTCCAAAATCCCAATGGCACCCCAGCCACCACCAGATGCAAAATCTGGACCGATAACAAAATGCAAGGCACATACACCTTTTCTCTTTCAAATTAAGGAGGCTTTTTGGGGATTGGAGGTTGGATAATAACGTAACTATGTACCTATTACAGGTACATAGGATCCAGGGAGACTCTCACAAGGACCAGTCCACAGCTGTGACTTTGCTTCTGAGATGGTTCCAAGATGCCCACAACAGGGCAGAGCAGATCAGAAGAGAGAGACCATGAGAGAGCCAACCCCTAGAGGACCACTTATGTTTGATGGAAAAGAGGTAGACAGGTGGAGAAGGGAAGAAATGTGGAACTTTAGTTAGCCGAGTCCTCAGGTCAGCTTGGCACCCATGTCCCTTGTTCAATGTCCCTAACAACAGTCACCGCAGTTCCACGTGAAATGTGACAGGACAGGAACCAGACCTCTACTTCAAAGGAGCTCCTGCTTCAGCTGGATTCTGACTTCTAGAAAGTTCTTACGCTGAGCCCAAATCAAGGTATGTCTTTGCAGTCAGGACCCATGAGGAGCCAGGGAGGCCTGAGGCAGAGCAGACACTGATCTAATTCCACAACCCCAGACCCTCGGGTTCTAGAGAGAAGGAGGGGCCAGCTGGGCAAGATGCTCCTGAACACAGCAGGAGCCCCCGAAGGAACCACCAGGGAAGTGCTACAAGAGCTGGAGAGAGAAGACGGGGAAGCGCAAGGTTTCCTGGTCTCTGCCTTTGCTAACTGCAGGCAAGGGGTGCTGGAGTTCAAGTTCCCCTCAGCCACACAGGCTTCCCACCCTGTCAACCACTGCGGCACCTCCCTGCACTCCTGTCCTCACCACTGACCAAGGAGGAAGACTCTGGAGAGGCTGTAGCATCCAGACCCTCACGGAGGGAGTTCAGCTCACAGAGGTGGGGGCGATGCCACAGCGCGCCTGGGGGGCACCTGGCACTGCTGCGTGAGAAAACAAACCAGGTTAGTGTTCAGAGAGGGCAGACTGTCCTATGCGGTCTGTTGTTTGAAGATGAATGTCCTACTGAAATGAAAGAAACGAGGGGAGACTTGCCTTGACGTGGGTGAGGTGACTTGCTTGGTGTTGGGTCATGAGGCAGCACACATGTCCAGCACGAGGCCCCGCACACAGTACGTGCTCAGAAAACATGGGCTGTATTGACTTTGGGGTGCTCGGGAGACCTGTGCGTTTGTCTCTGTCATACTATGATTTACAGTGGTGGTATCTTTAGTTTCCTACAAGAACAAAACCCACATATTTCATGGGTAAGCACTGCCTCGATTTTCACTGATTCTGGTAAGCTGAGTTGTGATGGAAAGGGGTGGGGGCTGCTGATAAAGGAATATATGGTTGGGGTTTTCTGAAGCACCACAGTGGCCTGCAGAAGCATTTGGGAAGGGAGGTGTCTCGCCAACTTCGGTTCTTTTGAAGTAGCACCATCCCTGAGGCAGCACCTCTAATACCTTGATCCCTAAGACAGGGGCTCCATTAGAAGGTTTTAACTATGGTGGTGTTTTGAGTGTAGGTGGATCATCAGAATGTTCTGCTGACGATTTTAATGCATGTCTCACAAATCATAGAATTAGACCCATCCAGTCAGTTCTTACCATCTCTAATCTTAAGATGGATTCTAAATTCTAATGGAGATAGTCATCTTTTAGCAGCTGGGAAAATAGGAAAAGGAATGCTCTACTCTTTCGGGTCATAAATCTGTAATCATTCCAATTGTCATAAAGATAGGATCCCAAAGAAAACAGTTTCAACAACTGCATGCATGGATCTTGAATGCAGGTGTGCAAGGGCTGGGTGGGAATGAGGTTGCTTTCAGAGCCTATAAGAGGAGGAATACTGAAGGAATACTACACATTTTTTTTGTAGGTATTTTGCGGGGAATGAAAAGATAAGATTCCCAAGGCCTAAGAGCCTTTCCCTAAATTCTCTAGGTGTGTGTATTTTCAGGGAAGAGGAAAATTTTAAATCAGTAGCCTACTTCAGCATTCTCATGAAACTGATTTGCAACTAGCATTTCAACTAGGTTAGGATTCCTTTTGGTATACGGAGAGGGAAAGATCTGTACAAAGAGAAGCAGCAAAATATGAAAAAAGGCCAGAGTTGTACTCTCCCCAGTGGCTAGCCAAACCAACCCTGGAGTGTCCAGACCTGGAAAAGAAAAGGCTCATGGTCCCAGGCTCACCCAGCACAAGTGTGAGCTTCTTGGGCATGGAACAGCTTGCAAAAGGCCATTTGGCACTATGTCTGGTGCTGGTATCCTTGTAGACTCATTCTTGATCATATAATTGAATAACGACCTCTGCAAGTGATGGGGGAAAACAACAAAGCCACATTCTAGGGAAAGGTGAGTTGGTGACTCAGCAGCTCCTGTCCAGTGTGACACTTCCGGAGAAAAGTAGGGGACCATGGTCAGGGACTGTGTATGGCATCAAGCCCACATGATGTCCCGTGCAACAGGGAGCACGGAAGAGACAGGAGGAAGAGTGGGAGGGAGAGAACATGAACTTGAGTGCCAGGGAGATGCTCACACTGGCACAGTGAAACAGTGGGGAAGACTCAGGGCAACAGCGCCGGTGGGAGGGGGCACCTGCCAAGGGGTGTGAGAGGAGCGTGCAGACACACGTGTCCCATGCTCCAGTAGCTTTAGAATGTCATGAATAGTACTCCATTCATGCCCCCACGTGTTTAAAGCCTGTGTTAGTTATGTGTGTCCTGTCATGTTGTCTGAGTCTTAGGATTCAATGAGGAAACCTTGGTTCAATTTTCTGTAAACTTCTGTTTGGGAAATGCTTTCTGATAGTGACATCAATGGAAATATCAAGCAACCAAGGGAAATCTGAAGATCCCAGAGAGCCCAGCAAGCAGCAGTGTCCTCGAGTTAGGCAAGCAAGGGCCCTGAGCTGGCCAGACCATGGGCTGGAACGCACTGGAGGCTGGTCAAAGGGGCTCCTTCTGGGGTCCCGACTGTGGTTTCTGCCAGAGGTGGAGCAAATTGGAACTGGATGTTGAATGAAGTTTCAAAGAACTTAGAAGTCAAATGGGGAACAATAATCAAAGGCTTCCATTTTGAAGCTGAAACAACTCCAAATTCTGCTGTTTCACTTAGGGGAGAACAGAAGCACCATGTCATTATTTTAGTTTACAGAGCTGCTGTTCCAAATGTTCTTGGGAGCATTAGTGCTAAGAGGGAACAGGGGATGGGAGCGCTGCCATTTCCAATCACATAAAGGACAGAAATTCTTTTAATTATGACCATGCCAATCTACATCCTGCTAAAACAGCTAATTACATGTCAGGAGGACACTCAGTCATTCAGAACAATTGCCATTATATTTTTATATATTCATTCTATGCCACCCCCCTCAATTACCATGGTTACAATTTGAAAAGATTCAGTCCAACCTTCATTTGATCACAGCACACCAATGTGAATTTGAGAGTTAATTATGGCTATACAGAGCCACTCTTACTTAAAAGAAGAGAAAATGAAAAGGGAGTCGAGGGAGCCGGCATCCCAAGACTTCTCAAGTGGGAGCCGGGTTGTGCATGCCCACGCCGGCCGCACCAACCAACTGGAGGGCAGCCGAGCAGGCACGGACACAGCTGTCCAGACTGGGGCCGACCAACCTGCAAACCTGCCACGTGAAAGGAGTGTCAGGAGAGGAGAAAGGCACGGGTCCCCTTCAGCTGCATCCCTCTGGATGCGGTTATGGGGCTGGCTGATGAGACAGACAATGGGTGTGGCATGTGGGTAGTAAACTGTCTCATGGTGTAAAAATGCTTGTCACATTTCATGTGAACAGAATCAACTAGAAAGTTCTGCCACAAATATCATAGGAAGAACGACAACAAAGAGGTTCAGTGCTCCGCATGCCTGTAATCCCGAGGCATCTATGTCACTGAGATAAGAATGGGCAGCCAGCAAATCTTCCCTCCCTCCCCTCATGTATCTCTTCCCGTCTTGATTTAAAACAAAGCCAGTGTTAGAGGAGACTGGAGTTTTCAGATTGCTGGCTTGCTTTTTGCTGCCATTTCTATTCCTCATCAAGAAAGAATAATACAGCTAATACTGAAACTTTCAATTTACGAACTTCCAGGTTTGAAAATACATAGATATGAACAAAGTTACCTTTCAGAAATGAGTGACTCAACTATTGGCTCTGCAAGATCACAAGACAGTAGCTTATCACTTTCAGTTTATAGGTGGAATTGAGGGACAGCCTTTCCAAACACAACCTGTATGTGAGAGGAGTTTCTGTAATCAGAAAACAGACTGTTGGCTTGTATCTGAGAAGCCTTTCCTATCACCTTAGTATGATAGTTCTCTGGAGAGCTGTAAGGAAATCTTTCTTTTAAAGTGGCGGTCATCTTTGAAACCAAGCATGCGTAAGGAAGTAGAGCACATTACAGGAAAAGAAAGGCCCTCTGCTCTGACCGCACACCACCATAACATCCTGACAGATGACCTGGCATGGACAGCTGCCTTTCCAGGAAAATCTTCCACTCTCATCAGGGAACACTGGACTGGATAACTTAGGTATTCCTAGGCGAAGTAAGTCATTCGACAGTATGGAAATGAAGAAATAAAAAGAGGGCTTTCAGGGCATGCAGCTCAGTTTGCCAAATTGAACATGGCTGACAACTGATCCCCAAATCCCGAGTAAACACCCTTGCTATTTAATGAGCACAAGCAAAAAAAAAAAAAAAACAAAAGGAATGCCTTATATGTGTCATTCCCACCCCTGCCCCAGGACATCCCCCCACCCCATCCCACACTCCCCAAAGATACCACCAGCAGGAGCTGGGCAATGTGCCCAACTTTCACTTGGGAAATCTTGACAAATCAATCCGGCTCAGCAAAGCTATAAATGGATTTGGCTGGTCTCAATGCAGCCCCAATGAATACAGTAGTAAAACATTACTAATAATTACAACAAAATGATAAAATCTATCATCTCTCTGACATGATTCAGATCACAGAGATTAACACAGAAACCAACGCACAATGGTGAGGGCCAGGGTTCTTCAATGTAGTGTGCTATTGAGCACAGGATCATCAACAAGAAAAATTATTGCCTAAGAATCTGTTGGGACACACTGGGGAGAAAATACTCTGGTTGTTCCCTGAACAACAAAAGACAAAAAACAATTTTAAAAGGCAGAGCCACAAATTAAATGGGAAGACTGCTTCTAACCAAACCCTCTGAAGACCAGAGAGTAAAGACTTAAGACTTCACATTTTTAGGAAGAGGAAGGGAGGGAGGGTGGGTGGGAGAACATCTGTGGGAAAGGGATCATTTCCACTGTTGAGGGCAAAGATGATGAGGCTGTTCAGTGGAATATGTAGCTGGTCAAGACAGGGAGGAGTGTTTGTGTTAAGAGATGGACCACATCCAGCTACTTTTCCCTGCTGTCACAAGATTAGAAAATTCCAGCAAAGAAGTCAGCTTAAGGCCTTGTCAGAGGGAAACAGAAGAGGAGCTATTCACAGACAGGATGAGGCTGGAGACTCCTGATTCAATGAGTCTGTTTATACTTGGTGCCTGATGGTTGATAGCCAAGGGAGAAGTTTCTAAAGTCAACATTTCTTAAAGACAAACGTTAAACAGGCAGAAAGGAAATAACTATATTGGTGAATTCTTCAGTCATCTCCTTTGAGGTAAAATATATCTGGATACACGGACCTAACATAGGTGGTGATCACTGAACGGGCTGCCACCATCAATCTACCAAGAACTAGAGAACTGGATGTGCACACTTCTGCATGAATGATTTTCCTCCGCTCTGCCTCAGGTTCCTCCTTCCTGTGATGGGCCATGGGAATGTGAATATGGGGGTGGGGTGGGAGGACTGCCCTTGTGAGTGACAGGGATGGGGACTGTCCAGAGTCATAGGTGGGTAGAAGGCAACTACATTTATTAACCACTTAAAGGACTGTGATTTTGATTGTGAAGAAAATTGCTGTAAGGGCACTCCAACATTACTGGCTTTGCTGAAACAAATCAAAACATCTATTTGGGACTGAATAGCACTGAAGGGCTCAGACAAGAATGCAGTGTGTTGCCCTCCCAGCCTTCATCTGCTGTTAGGGTTATCAACAGATGGGCAGAGATCTCATCAAGATGGCCCATTTTAAAAGGTCCCTGTGTCAGTGTTTTTAAAGTTTGGAAAGTTTACCCATCTGACCATAGTAATTCAATTAAGGTGTCTTTAAAGAAATAAATTATATGAATACCTGTTGGCAAGTTCCCCCACATCCCACTTTCCCAAAAGACTTTTGAAAGTCTTCCTCGACAGGAACAGCCCCTGCAGGAGTCCCCTGGGGCCTGAAGGAGAGAGTGAAGTACAACCCGGGTGGGCGGGGCGGGGGGGGGCGGGGAGCAGAACAACCAAGAAGCGCACAGTGTGAGTTTTTAGAGCCTGGCTGCTTTCCCTTCAGTAATAAGGAAGTTTAGGGTTTCTAGTTTAATTCCGCCACTAAAACCTGAAAAAGCTTAAGAGAGAAATATACTACCTAAAGACACTAGAAATATAACAGTAGCAGCGCCACACACCATTATAAGAACCAAGGTGGCCTGGACAATTCTGGCCTGGCAGAATTGAACTTGGTGACAAACAGAAAACTAACAGGTTTAAATCTAGGCCCAGAGGAAGTAAATTCTCACTCTTGGTGAAAAAGCAAAAGTGACATGTAAGGCAGTGGGTCTTCAGAGCAGCCAGCGGTCTTCTCCAGTGACAAGAACAGCTGTGGGTGGAAGATGCCTTCCTCCTGCTCCCACTGAGCTCTCCAGGACATTCTCCTGCAGTGGCAGAAATATTCTTTCAGTTTCACCACATTGCCATATAGGGTCTGGTACTGCCCTTCATGGATGCGAACTTGCCTTTATTCTCTGAAGCTTTTTTCCTCCCGTAAAGGTGTTAAAACAATGAAACCTTTGAGTACATCTATGACAATCTTTGTAGTTCTTTAGAAACTGCAGCTGTCTTAACAGTTTGAGTCTGTTCCTTTAAAAAGACTAGCAAGTACAAATGATACTAGCAATCCCATGATAAAGAAGCTATCAATTATAATAATCTCCTTACAATCAATCATGTATGTGGCTTGTCAGAGTGGATATTTCTCTGTCTCCTTGTATTTTGATTCAACTGAGAATAAGCAGTCAAAATTCCACAAAAATGGAAATATGTTACATTTCCTTTAAGCAAAATAAAAGGAAAGCAAGAGAACACGATCTCCTAATTGAAATAAAAAGTCAGATAAACCAAGAAAGAATATGAGTTGGCCGCGGGGGGGAGGCTCATTCCTGAGAATAACAAATGCTACTCTTGAATTTGTTGGTTCAAGTAATACAGTAAAACAGAAGAGACGGCTCCACTTTACTTCAATGCTTGGAAGCTGAAAAAAGTACATATATTTTTTCCCCCTGAAATCCATGGACAACAGCAGGACCAGGACCTGCATATAGCTCTTTAAAGTCACAGACATATATAAGGTGGCACTTTCATGCCCTCTCGAAGACTTTCCTCACACTCAAATAAGCAGGATTAACAGATAAGGAAATGACGCAGTCAGCGTGTGCCTTAAGTGGAAGGAGACCAGCTGGAAACTGGCGGATATTCAGTATCTCCTGAATGAGAAAGAATATTGAGGAAGGTCATTGAATACATTTGGTGGAGGAGGATGGGTGAAGAGGTAAGGAAATGGCACCTTCCTTTTATCTTAGAAATTGTTTTCAGGTAATGGACAAAAAGGAGCCCTGCTTAACAGCCAGCCCCACATGCCCCTTTAAACAAGGCTTCACTATACATAGGAGAGATGGAGCAAGGCAGAAACCACAGCAGTTGTGCCTCTTTCAGACGCACCCTGTGCTGCTACATTGAAGGCTCTTTCCTTTTACCCACAGTGACAGTGTGTCATTTAATCGGGATGCCAAGAGATCATTTTCATACAAGGCCAGCAGATGTAATTTTCTTTGATGCATGAATAGTTCATCATTTTGCTACTAGATGACAAGGTGATCACAGGGTGACTTTATAACGCAAGTTCACTGTTTGGTATTTTGAGTTCTCAAAATGAAAAAAAAGATTTATCAAATATAAATATCTTTAAAAAGTAACAAAAGTGCTACATATGTGATCAAGGAAAAAAATTCCATTAGTTACTGCCGCTTAAAGTAGATTAAACTTTACAAATATTACCACATCCATTATCAATATGGCTTCCAATTATTAAATAAATTGCCTGTAGCAATACAGCTTTTCACACCTCTCCAAGGACAGAGTAAAGAGAACAGCAAAGCAGTCCCATCGTGTTCTCGTACAGCCACAATGTGAGTAGGAAACGTCCCCTGCTTTTCTCTGCTCCTGTCTGGGCAAGTGTCTGCGTCTGTGACAGGCAGCACAACCCCACTATGAAGTCCTCTAGCGACCTCTCAGACTGAGGGGGCTTCCGTTTAATGGATACAAACACTGCAAGTTTTTTCACTCATTTTTGACCTTAGCTCCATCCTTGAAAGACTTTTTTGGTAGCAGGGAAAGGGGACACTGACAGGAGGCAAAGCAACTTCCACGATGACCTCCAAAACTTTTCCAGGCAGGCACTGCTAACTGTGCCGCGGAATGTACAGTGGTTCTGAAAACTGGACTTAGCATCCATTAGACATTCAGCTCATGTTTTTTTCCAATGCTCTCAAGCTGGGCCTTTTTTTTTTTTTTTTATGACGTTTGGTTTTTGTCTTTGTTTTTAATCATGGTCCCAAAGGCAGAAGGCAGTATTTTATCTACTAAGTCACACAGCTTGTGAGAGGAAAGGATGTCTGTGTCAGGCATGTTAACTTCAAACAAAATCTGAGATCGACTTTTTCCATTGACATTCTTAGCACAGCACCCAAAGAAGTATAATCTAGCCACAGTGTGGCTATAATGAGGCACGGCTTATTGCAGCTGGAAATCAATTATCCTCACACTGAGGTGGGGATTCTAGTGTTCCTTTGACTCTGTGGATACTCCCCAAATGGTGTCTGTCATTCCTGTGCCACGACCTCAGCTTGCATCCTATCAGTCTTGGGGAAGGAAAAGGGGGTACAGACTAGTGTTACAAGAATCTAAAGGTACCCAAGATTTTACACATAGCCTAATATTTGAGAACTGAGGGCTATCTAAATACCTGGAAGCACTTTCTTGGAATGCTAAGACGGAGCAGCAAGATTTTCTAGCCTCACGGGCTGGGAGAGGGAAGTTTGGTTGGTTGGTTGGTTATTATTTACTGGGAATTAATACTGAGAGAGTATATGCAAAGGCTGAGGGCACCATGCCATCTTCACAGAACAAGACCCTAACGGCTACCTGACATACAAGAAACTGCAAGTTATACTGTAAGAACACATGTTAAGGACCGAGGAAAGTCTGCTAAGGTGCTACGTCTAAACTAAGTTAACTTGTCGTGTTTAACCTCCCTGATCAGTCATCATCCAGGGCCTCTGTCTTGATTTCGTTGGCTCCTTGTCGGGCCAATGCCAAGATAGTGTGGTTGACTGCTGCCATTTCCACAGCTAATGAGATGGGGTCTTGGTGGTCACTATGGCTCGTACTGTCATCCTAGATGTGCAGAAATAAGAAATGTTATTAGTGGATTGGAAGAATTCTTCAGTCACAGAAAGACATGCTGGGGCAAGGGGAGGCACAACATTCGTGGGAGGAAACTAGGGGAGGGGCTCATGATAGAATAGAGGTAAATTGTATTTAAGTAGACACTGAATGGATATAGGTCCAAAGATTTTCAGTTGATAATTTTAGGATTTAACAAGTAAAAAGCACAAAAAATGTTTTTCCTCACTAAGAATTCTATTCATTCTATTAATAAGGTTGCTGGTGGTGATGATCAAACCTGCAGTGATTGATATAAAACCAACAATTTGGATATTTGGATCTTTCTGTTTGTAACAAATATAGCACTAATCACTGAAGGCCATACTAGCGAGCTATTAAATTCCAGATTGCTGCTTTTACAAATAGATTATTAGAATTCATGGTCCCTCTCTGAACTGAGAAAACTAGACAAAACTTACAATTACATCTTACAGATAAAAAGTGCATTTTTGTAAAAAAAAAAAAAAAAAAAGGAATTCTCAATTACAACAGGACATGTGTCTCTGCTGGAAATGGCTACGGGAGAAAGGGGAGGAAGGTGTGGAGCTCTCCTGCTGGAGGCAGCTGTGCAAGGGGAGCGGCAGGCGTCTTACCTAGAACAAGTGTGAGGCTGTCCTCCCCGCGCAGCTCAATGTGTTAAACAATAAAGCTGTGAAGGAAGCTGGCATTGCAGGATGTACGTCAGGCACTGAAGACGGTGTTACAAATAAGGGGTACGTTTCTCACCTGTCATCTTCAGGGGAATTCTGTATCAAAGAGCTTTGGAAAGGGTAAGTCCCTTAAGGAAAAAAACAAACAAAACATGGGATGTGCTGCCCTTAGGGCATCTGTAAAAAAAGATGGAAATGATCCATCTTTGTGGGTAGACTGAAAAATAACAGGAATGTATACGAACAGAAAGACCTTACAGAATATTCTCTTGGGACTAAGAAGTAGAGTCCTAAAGGGAAAAAAATGGTAGTTCTTTGGAAGTGTGGACATCATTGTTTCCTTCTGATGTTCACAGATTAGTTTTTAGAATTTACAAAGGGATCAGCACAGACTTGCATGCATTCTAGGCGTGTGGTAAACAGAGGCTGTTAAAGAACACACTGGACTATATGAGCTGGCTGGGGGGCAAGGAAAAAGCACAGACCCCAGAAAAATGAGAAGTTTTCTTGCTGTGGTCTAGGGGAAGGCACCATGCGTTCTCTGCATATTCCAAATGGAAATTTACATCCTATCAAAATTTTAATGAAATCTGTCAACATCTATGTGGGGGTCAAGAAGGAACTCCCACAGTCTTAGTTACTGAATTACTCCATGCAGTGGCTACAATTAAATACATTTTCCCCAAAAGCAATGCAGAATAAATCAGGGCGAGGTGACGAGTCATGCAGGTTTTGCACTTATGAGAGGATGCATGTGTCAGTGTGCCAGAGACTCTGGAAGAACCACTCCTTTGGGCAGGAGGGTTCCCACTGCAGTGGGGCCAGAGTGAGTGGGGCCTTCCATCGTGCCCTGCATCGGTACATGTTTAGGCATGGGGTCCAGCTGCCCCTAGTACTTCTCAAACACTGAGTGTGTGTTGTGAATGGTGTAACTTGCTTGTTTGGATCAGATCCTCCTCTCTTCTTCTACCTTCTCTGCTTCTCTGCCTCCCTCTGAACTTCTTCCCTCCTCCTCCTCCCCATTGCGTACTTGCCAAGTATCCTGTTGTATGACAATAAATCCATGTGGGTGAATAACGATTTCTCACAAATTCAACAGGACAACCGAATCTTACCACATTCCTTTCAAATTACATGAAATCTAACTAGACACAGGAGCAGAGTGGAGGGACAGTGACTGCTTCCCCTCCCCCACCCCATCAGCCACACCCACGGAACTAAGCTGTCCCACTGTTCCCCTGCTCAGGCACCAAGAACCTCGCCCAGCTGTGCAGGGGCTCACCTGCTCAGAGTAGTCATTCCCGTCAACGTCATCACTGTTCGAGTGGCCTCCTGGACTCTGCACATCTATTCCATGACTCTCCAGGATTGCTGCTTCTTCGAAAAAAGCAAATAGATCCCTAAATTATCTGTTACCTTATCACAATGGCTGAAACACTGAATGAATTTTTGTGCTAAGGAAATTAGAATATAATTAAACAAAAACCTGTATTTCTCTACAGTTGTTTCTTTTAGACTGTAAGATGGATGAAATTCAAATGCATGTAGGTCAAAGGAGGCACACATTTGCCATTCTGGGGTCTCTGCTGCCGTGCATGTTACGTGCTTCATAAATACTTGCTAACTAAACAGTCCTATCTTAGGGTTCTATAAAGCATATGAGAACTGTACTGATGAATAAAAAGTATATTTACAAAGGAAAGGAAATGAAATGAAATGCATTCTATGCCCATACCACGCTCAATGTGCCCGATCTCATCTGATCTTGGAAGCTAAGGAGGGTCAGGTCTGGTTAGTACTTGGATGGGAGAAATGAAATTCAATTTTAGAAGCTAAAAACCAACATCCTACCTGACTCACCAACTTAAATTTCTTATTCTTATGTATTACTGTTACAGTTTTGAATGGGAAAAAATCCTTTATTTCTTCCTTTTTCAGTTGTATTCATAGTTCCCTCTAGGGCACTTCTGGCATTTTTGTTTTCTCTGTTCAGCTTTATTGAAATATAATAAAAATTGTATATATTTATAATGTACAAGGTGATGTTTTGATATGTGTATATATACATGTATACATGATTACATCGAGAATTCACATTTCTGAAATGCTCTTTATCTCTGCCTTTTGCTGCATTCCTTGTCTATTAAGTCTCTTTCATTCCAAACTATTAATCGTTTTGTAATATCTAAGTCGTAGTCCAGTAATAATAAATTCTGGGTATTACACTCCCTTTCTCAAGACCCTACAAGTATCTTTCATATGTACCACAGGAGTAATCAATTGCTCAGGGGCCAAGTCTAATTCTGTATTCTAGAACTTTAAGAACAATGAGTTTTATAAAAATGTCATTACCATTACAATAAAAATAGTGCAAATAATACTAACTGTGGTTTATTAAAAAATACAATGAAAGACATTAGGGCAATTTTTGTTAGTCCTAGAAGTTAGGATCTGGCATGGTGGCTCACGCCTGTAATCCCAGCACTTTGGGAGGCCGAGGCGGACAGATCACCTGAGGTCGGGAGTTCGAGACCAGCCTGACCAATATGGAGAAACCCCATCTCTACTAAAAATACAAAATTAGCCAGGTGTGGTGGCGCATGCCTGTAATCCCAGCTGCTCGGGAGGCTGAGGCAGGAGAATCACTTGAACCCGGGTGGCAGAGGTTGTGGTGAGCCGAGATCGCGCCACTGCACTCCAGCCTGGGCAACAAGAGCGAAACTCCATCTCAAAAAAAAAAAAAAAAAAAAACCTCTAAGAGAAGGAAGTTAGGATCGCTGGATGTTGCCACAGTTCTAAACTGGAAGTTAAATGCCAATATAAACATAGCGTTCTTCACAGCTGCAGCACAAGAAGAAAAAAAAAAAAAAAAAAAAAAGAAGAAGTTAGGATCCTTCAGACTTGCAGTTTCTAAACTGAAGTTAATCTTAATATAAACATGACGTTCACAACTGCAGCACAAGAGAAAAGCAGCCTCACTGATACATTACCAATATTGGCTCTCCTCTTGATCTCCTTCCTTCTGTTAGCAAACCAATTATATACTTTCAGGGAGGTAACTCTTTCCAGATCTGACAGTTTTTTGCCTGTAAATACATGCAATAAAATTCAGATAATCTGTATCTGGGATCCAAGAATAAACTAGTTTTAAAGGCTAATATTTTTATTTTGTTGCTTTTGATTACATTTGTTGCCAAAACTATAGATGCAGAGGGATGTTTAAAGTATTACCTGGTACCATGTACACACCCCAATTATTGAATGAATAAATATGTAAATGAATACAAACACAGCAACTAGTAACACAACATGCTTCAATTCAGAAAGCCATACATAATATTAGAGAATTCCACAAAGTTAGTTGGCTAGGGTGCCAGATCCATGTTCATGTGACAGTACTATGGGGGTTTCATTTAATTACCATTATTGTATCAGAATAAGTTACTCTTTTTTTATTTTTTTGAGAAAGGGTCTTACTCTCTTACCTAGGCTAGAATGCAGTGGTGCAATTATAGCTCACTGTAGCCTTGACCTCCTGGGCTGAAGTGATCCTTCCACCTCAGCCCCCCAGGTAGCTGGAACTACAGGCCCAAGCCACCATACCAAGCTAATTTTTGTGGTTTTTGTAGAGATGGGGTCTCACCATGTTGCCCAGGGTAGCCTCCAACTCCTGGGATCAAGCTATCTGCCCACCTTGGCCTCCCAAAATGCTGGGATTACAGGCATGAGCCACACAACGACCCAAGATAAGTTCTTCTTTGTCAAGTATCCAGACAACAAAAATTTACTTACATCTTTAAGACCTTATGTTAACTAATTACCTGCTGTCTTAGGACAGAGGATATTATACATGTTTTCTTGAAGGCTGAAGGCCGCTATGACTATCCATTATTGTAACTGGGTTTGACTACATAGCACAATTCAAGCTGCATTTTAGATTTACCATCTTTGAAGTCCAGTGTGATTTTTTTTTTTTTTCTGAGATGGCGTCTCACTCTCTCCCCCAGGCTGGAGTGCCGTGGCGCGATCTCACTGCAAGCTCCGCCTCCCGGGTTCACGCCATTCTCCTGCCTCAGCCTCCCGAGTAGCTGGGACTACAGGCGCCTGCCACCACGCCTGGCTCATTTTTTTGTATTTTTAGTAAGGACAGGGTTTCACCATGTTAGCCAGGGTGGTCTCGATCTCCTGACCTCATGATCCGCCTGCCTTGGCCTCCCAAAGTGCTGGGATTACAGGCGTGAGCCACTGCATCCGGCAAGAAGTCCAATGTGGTTTTTTATCGATAGTACCATGCTTGCCAATACAGACCCCTCTGTAACATTCCCTCCTCACCTTTCCTTTTGTTTTTCGGCTATTAATCCAGTGTGTGAAGAAACCAGAAAGCAGATTTGTTAGGGTCTTGATGATACGGGGGCAACATGTTCCAGGGAGAGTTCAAGTTTCTGCACAGCTTTAGGGCTGGGACTTTTGGCATGTTTGAAACAGGGTACAGATTCCTTTCACTTATGTGTCACTGGAGCAGAGTTTGTAGGGTCTGCATTGCTAGAAGTCTGGCTTCTGGGTGAGGGAGAATGAAGGTCTACTTAATTTTATAAAACATTGATACTTTCATATGTAGCCTTTAGGCCAATCAAAATAACTGGCCACATGGAAATCGTATTGGATCTATTAACTGAAAATGGTTTATGTTTAACAAAATCTGTAAAATGTGAAATAATATTTTAGCACAAGGAAGAAAATACATTTGAAATATTTAAGTGGGTCTGTTGAGTTTGGAACAACAGGACTTCAAAATGGTACCTGCCCTAAATTTTTCTTAGCTAAGCAAGCAGAAGTCATCTCAATGTGTAAAGGAGATAGAAACTAACTACAAAAAGAATTCTTTTCCCAAAGAGAAATACAGCATTTTACAATTTATAACAATTGTTTTAAAAAATTCTATCTTAATTTTATATTGACAAAGCTTGCTTAAATATTTAAAACTTTAACACTGTTTCATAATATCTTTTAGCTAAATTCTTGGAAAAGGAAATCTACACATTAAAAAAATAGTAATTTCAAGGTCTCATATCTCATGTAGGGTCATTCCTTGAAAACTCTCCTATGTGAGCATTTGATTTTGAGTATCATAAAAACATCCCTCAGAAGTACTGTGTGAGCAGGACAGGGCACTGGCCACCTGCTGAAGGATGGCACAGACTGAGCTGGGAGCACTATGCCAACGCACACACAAGATTAACTGTCCTAGATGTCAACCTGTAACCAAGCGCTGTGCTGCACCACCACAGAGGAAGGCTGTGCCTGCGACCTTACCTGGCTTCTGTATAACTGCATTGCAAGCGTTTGCAATTTCTTCCCTCTTTGCTTCATCTGGGTATTGATTCTCATTGAAGTAACTGCAGAGGCAACCAATACAAACACAAAGTTTTTATTTTTCAAACATACTCTCATTAAAACACTAAGTCGTTGAAAAATATGTGCTGTAAGATGCCACACGTAAGTGTCTAGGTCCAGGCTGTCAAATGGAATGTTCTGTGATAGTAGAATCTTCTATGCCGTCCAGTATGGTAGCCAAAACTCAAAAATGGCTACTGAGCACTTGAAAGGAGGCTAATGTCAGGGATGGAATTTGAATTTTATTTAATTTTAATTTAAATTTGAATAGCTCCATGTGACTAGTGGCTATTATATGGGACAGAACAGGTCTACATACTGCTGTGCTTCATTAAAAGATGTCATTGATATAGCAAAAATTTGAAATTACCCACATATCCATCAATAGGAGAATGGCAGAACAAATTATGGGGTATCTATACTTATACATTGCTATTTAAAACTAGTAGGAAAAAATAAGTTAGAGTTCTGTCCACTGACCTGGAGGGATGTTTATGACATATTTCTAAGTGAGGAAAACTATCCGCAGAATAATACTGAAAACACTGTTATTTTCAATATTGGTATTATACCAATAATAATATGAAAATATCATTACAGAGTTTAAAAATTCCTATGTGTACATAAGTTTGCATAGATGAAAGCTGGAAGACTACACAGTAAGCTTAACTGGTTACTGATTTGTGGGGAGGGGGCTTAGTGGGAGGAGTTTAAACATTTTCTTTTTCATTTGTTAAAAAAATATGTATTACTTTTGCACTTTTTAAAGAACAGTAGTACTTTAAAGAAAGAATAAATTTACTTAACCTATCCTTAGAATTCTCAGACCCATCAGACTGCATGTGGGAATAGAATGCTTATTAGTGCTACTTTTTCAGTCACCCATGAGTTTAAAAAAAGAAAAGGAGAACTTTCATGGTTTCAACTTGGAAACTTCCAATGAGGAAATGGGCCCCTGTCAAATTCTAGCACCTACCATTTTTTCACGGGTTTCCCTTTCCCTGTAATCCAGCCTTTCTTAAGCCTTCAGCACTCCTGTCTGCACTGGTGGAAATGCCATCCTACTGTGAATAGCACTGGAGGCCCCAGCCCTTCCTGAGGATGACCTGCAAACCCAGCTCCTAACACTGACTCCCTCTTCTCACCGCCCACTCTTCCTCGGAGGGCATGCCTTCACTGCAGTTATTTATTTATTTAGCCTCATCTGATGTCTCATCTGATGTAGTCCTGACTCACAGCAGCTGCCCCCACCTAACTACCTTTTCTTCTGTAAAACTTACGTCATATAGCTATATCCTCCCAGTCTTGTCAACTACCACCCTCCACCATGGTCTTCTGCTTTATTTGAGCATCTCTTCCTGCACAATTTTCTGCTGTCATTTCTGGGACTCCAGTGTGCATACTGAGGATTTTTCCAAGTCACTACCCTCATAATTGCTTCACTTTCACATTTCTAATGGCTTCTGTCTCTGCTCTATGTCTGCTATTTACTTAGGCTAAGAAGCTTTGGATTAACTCTGAGAACTAACAGCATGGCTGTCACCTAGGAGCCAGTTAGAAGAGCAGAATCTCAGACCCCACCTCAGACTTACTAAATCAGAATCTGAATTTTAACAAGATTTCCAGGTGACCTAAATGCACAGGTCATAACTTCTGAGATGTACTGGATGAGTTCATTTACACAAAATTTAACAAAAAGCAGATACTAAGTACCTAATATGTGCTTGTCACTGTGGATAAAGAAAGATGATGTAGTTTCCGACTCCGAAGTGTTCACAGTCCACTAGAGAGAGACATGTAAGTCAATACCCTGTGGTGAAATGCCACAGGATGTACGGACAGAGCCCTGACGGAGCATGGATGAATGTGTGCTCAGTGTTGTTGGCAGGAGCCTGGAAAGGCATCACTGAGGAGTGCCATCTGAATTAGGTCTAGAGGATGTGCAGGAGATTGCAAGGCAGAGAAGAGGAGGAAAAGCATTTAAGAGGGAACAGCATATGCAAAGGCAAAATGGCAGATAAAAGCTTTTGAGGATTCTGGGCATAGAGAAGAGTTAAATGTGGCTAGAACATAGGGCTTGTACAAAGCAATGAGATACTGGCCTGGAAAGGTGGGATGGGGCCAGTTTGTGAAGACCCTTGTGTGTTCCTCAAGAAGACTTCATACTGAAATAAACGGGGTGCCTTCGAGGTTTCCAAGATACACAGAGATATACTCCCACCTGTTCTTTAGAAAGACAACACTTTATCTTCAAGGCTTAACCCTTGGAATTCTACCTCCATGATCTTCAATTCTGAAATTCCCCAGTCAACTTTGTATTTACCTATGCCTCCTCTTCAAAATAATTTGTTCTGCACTTTCTTTATTTTAACTCCTTAATTCCCCCAACCACCAGTTAAAAAAACAAAACAAAACAAAAACAAAAACAATCTTTGTTTTTCACTCCTCTTTGGGCTTCACCTGTCATTTCTTAGCCTGAACTCCATGGCATGCAAAATCAGCAACTTTCCTTAGAGAAACTGGGTTGTTTAGCTTTTCTGTCCTTCCACCATAGTCCAGTCAATCTCCTACCCTGCAGAAAGCAACTTCCATTTATTTTCTTCCATCCTTTTCTCAGGGGACCAAGTGTTCCTGGACAAAGTCATAAAATAGGGCCAATTGGTTTTTTAATAAATCCACATTTTTCAACCTTAACTGAGACCCTCATTTCTGTTGGGAATTCTTTTGGTCTTTTCTAACCAATTGCCTTTCGTATCCCATCTTTCCTGCCCCATTTACCTGAAAACTTTGCACTCTCTTACCCCAAGCCCTCAAATTGACCACTGTCACTTTTTGCAGATGACCTTGCTTTCTCTCTTATGATGATGGAGATTATTTAATATGAGTTAATTGCTTGGCTTCTCAACTTGTACACTGTTCTAAGCATTACTCATTCATTTGTCTTATGGCAGAGGAAGATGCATGCATTCTCCTCCTCTTCAAGGTCAACTTCTCCGCTTTTGTCTTTGACCTCATTCCCCTTCCTTTCATTTTCTCAACTCTCTCCTTTCTTTCCTGCATATCTCATCTTTTCCATGTGCCCATACAGTGATCTTACTTCACTGTTTTTATAATACATATTTCTTCATTATTGTGATCTCTGAAGTCAGGATGCATTTTATAATTGGTGGTGTTCTGTCTCCCTTACTGGCACGTCAAATAAGGTGTGTCTTACAATCCAAGGCCTTCTTAGACTTGATGGGATACACTAGTTGCTAAGACCTACGGGTTCCTTTTAAGCAATAGCTCTTTGGCCAGTACACCTCATTGTGATAACTTTTCTTCCAAGTGACTGCAAAGCCTGTGATGACACTGTATCCGCTCCAGTGCCTGATTAATATTCCTAAAGCATATCTCTAGTTACTATCCTGTTCAGAAATTCTCAAAGGTTTATTATAGAGGTGTTCAAAGTCCCCTCTAAACAACCTCATAAAAACCCTAGAAGAAAACCTAGGTAATACCATTCAGGACATAGGCATGGGCAAGGACTTCATGCCTAAAACACCAAAAGCAACAGCAACAAAAGCCAAAATTGACAAATGGGATCTAATTAAACTAAAGAGCTTCTGCACAGCAAAAGTAACTACCATCAGAGTGAACAGGCAACCTACAGAATGGGAGAACATTTTTGCAATCTACTCATCTGACAAAGGGCTAACATCCAGAACCTACAAAGAACTCAAAAAAATTTACAAGAAAAAAACAACCCCATCAAAAAGTGGGCAAAGGATATGAACAGACATTTCTCAAAAGAAGACATTCATACAGCCAACAGACACATGAAAAAATGCTCATCATCACTCGTCATCAGAGAAATGCAAAACAAAACCACAATGAGATACCATCTCACACCAGTTAGAATGGCAATCATTAAAATATCAGGAAACAACAGGTGCTGGAGAGGATGTGGAGAAATAGGAACACTTTTACACTGTTGGTGGGACTGTAAACTAGTTCAACCATTGTGGAAGACAGTGTGGCAATTCTTCAAGGATCTAGAACCAGAAATACCATTTGATCCAGCCATCCCATTACTGGGAATATACCCAAAGGATTATAAGTCATGCTGCTATAAAGACACATGCACATGTATGTTTATTGCGGCACTATTCACAATAGCAAAGACTTGGAATCAACCCAAATGTCCATCAGTGACAGACTGGATTAAGAAAATGTGGCACATATACACCATGGAATACTATGCAGCCATAAAAAAGGATGAGTTCGTGTCCTTTGTAGGGACATGGGTGCAGCTGGAAACCATCATTCTCAGCAAACAACCTCTACATCTTTATCTGCTACTCCCATATATGCATGCTACCACCTAGGAAAATGGAATAACTCTATAAACTCCTTGCATCTCTATACCTTTCTCTTGCAAGTACATCAGCTTTTTGCCTCCCCCCACCCCGCAGTGCAAATCTTATCTTTCAGGGTACACCTCAAATATCACCTCTTGGCCAATCATATGTATTTTTTTGCCCTATGAATCCCACTGCACTTCATCTATTCCTCTCTTACATATCTTTCATCTTGTATTACAGTTATCACTGTATACATCTGTCTTCTACTGCACTGAAAACCACATGATACCAGGGTACAAGTCTGACTCATCCTCACACACACTCCTCACTAATGATAGTGCTGACTAGTCAATAATGATAGACAAAGGCACCACCGACCCAGTGTGGGGGCCTCCAAAAGAAATGGATCTCACAGTAAATGAACTGCTAACAAGCGAGGGCAAAGAGGTATTGCAAAACGGATCTTGAAGGATACGTACTAAGGGGTTAGCAATGACTATCTCCAAGAAGTGACAGTGTTGGGGATGGGGGTAAAAACGGAAAATATTGGTGGCAATTAAGAATGATTTTCACTTTTTCTTGGAGAAATAAGAAAAAAAATTTTAAAAATTGACATTCTGCCTTATATACCTCTCTGTTGAATTTCTGAAATAAACACA